ATTCTATTCTATTCTATTCTATTCTATTCTATTCTATTCTATTCTATTCTATTCTATTCTAAAGTATATAAGCCACCAACTCTCAAGTCCATGTGTTCAGCTGCACCAGGACCATGTGCTTGATGGTTCTGCTCCATTAAACCATCTTTCCAATTAGCATTCATGTTTCCAGTATCTTTCTCCCCGCTTGGAACTGAAATGGATGGATAATTCTTCCAACAATTTTTTTCTTTCTTTATTTATAATTCCTAAGGTCAGTTCTTAGACCTTAGCAGTGTTCCCAAGTAGAAACTAACAAACTAAACTCTTGTATTTTGATGGAAGTTACATCAAACTCTCTGTTTAGTATCTCCTACAGTATTGGGGGATATGCTGTGTTAAATCAAGGGAGGTGGAAGTTTGAGGAGCTGCCTGATGAGCCATTACAGCTCTGAACAGTGGGAGTTGAATTTCTTCCCATCCCTTCCACATTTATAATAAAAAATCTTCTCAGACAGATTGAGGAGGAGTAGCCAATCCCCTCCCCCATACACCTTTGCTGTGTTTTCTGGCAAAACATAATTTGGCCATTATTATCAGTTAATTGTTCTACACGCAATAGAGTCTATTCAATATGTTCTCCTAATATAAATTAATCTGACACAAATTTCATCTGGGGTGACTCTGAGTGGCATGGAAAGTTGGATAGGGAAGGGAAGCATGCAAAGTTTGTATATATTTTTTTAAAATCAGAGTTAATTGATGTCAGCTGCAGGTCTGTCTGTGAAGTAGCTTGCAAGTGAGGTAGCTATTCTCACAGCTCTGCTGTAGCCACTTGGAAGTCATTATGGATCTTTTGGGGTGGTGGAAGAAAATATTGGCTGCTAATTGCCCAGAAAAATGCTTTAGAATGGGGAGAGGTAATTTGTTCCACTTGGGTAAGAAGCTTTTACTCATTGTGCCAAATATCTCGGGCGTAAACAGTGGCATTACTTAGTCTCTGAGTCTTGAAATGAATTTTACTTCAACAGCAGATTTTTTTTTTGCTGTGCCCTTATTAATCTCCATTAACACGATATTAGTC